AAAACAGAACACACAGCAAGAGAGCAGCTTACAACATCGATCGTCCTCCATATTTGTTTTTTTCGCCTGAAGTCACGTTTGATCGCATGAGCTTCTGTGAGATCTTGTGTCTACAAACTGCAGGTGTGTGGTCCCGGGTCTTGTTGTCTAGTGTGCGTTTGAAGATTTTAATGAATTGGTTGAAACTGTTCTTATGTCTGTGGTCTTCCATGTTTTTAAAATCTGTAAAGATTTGAAAATAGTTTGGTGTAGCCAGCTTAAGTCACACTCAGGCCCACTGCAATAGTTTGGGGAAAAAAGAAGTCAATATCTGTGACAAGAAACATGAAGGATATCTCAAAGGAAACCTCACACATGAACAAGATGAAATATGACATGATGACAGTCTCTGTAAGTCTTGTGGCCTCTTTGTAAACAGGAATGTATCTTGTCAAAGCACATGAGGAAAGTAAGTACCAAGCAGGAGACACATCGAGATATAGTTTCAATCCTTTTTCTTTTATTTGAGGTATTTCCTTTACATACACTCCTAAACTTTGTCAATACTTCACATGTAAATACAGGTGAATATGCGAATATGAATAGCAATTTTGAGAGTGACGGTTTGGTGTAAGTGGTGTGTCTTTTTCTGTGGATTGGTTTTCTCTTTTCCATTGAAATTTGCGCTGATTTAGTTTTTATATAAACTATTGTCAACAGACTGTATAGTCATGTGAAACGGGTCACATCTTCAACATGAACATGGAACTTGATAACATGATAATATAGTTATGTGCTTAATGTACTTAATAGTCAACTGCCTGCCTTCAATGAAGGATTCCTTATTGAAGGAGAACGGGTTCTGTTAAGTGTTACAGGTGCAAACAAAGGATGAATGTATTTCTATTCTGCCTTATCTTGGGTTGTTAGCAGTGTAGATGTCAGCACATAACCTGAGACCACAAAGCCCAACACGACTGGAGAGGTGAGAAAAGTGGCTACCTCGCACATACAGAGGGAGCAGAATTGTTTTGTGGCTGTGTGTGTGTGTGTGTGTGATATCCTCTACCGACTCTCTAACTTTACAGTGTTGTTATGAATTGGTCTCATAATGGGTTTTTTTCCATGTCTCCATGTATTTGTTTTAGAAAATAATCCCTTCAAGGAACACTTTGAAGAATATCGTGCACACTTTCTAAGATGAGAACATATAGATAAGACTGATCCCACTCAAACACATGGGCTAAATTGCTGCTAGAGGTACAGGACAATTAGCTTAGTTTAAACACTGGAATCAGAACAAACAACAAGCTCAACAGAGGGGTTAAAGCAATTTATCGCTATTTTTCCTTATCTTTTGTTGTTTTCAGGGAAGTTATTTAACACAGCGGCCCCTAGCTGAACCCAGGGACTACAATCTAACATCCCTGTAAAGATAAAGGATGTATTTTGCAGCAATCGTGTCCTGCATAATCTAAATTAAGATTTCGGTGTTGATTGAAGGGGTTAAATAAGATTACACATATGCTGTTAGGCTCCTTACTGACATTCATTTGCACCGTAATCACACTTACATACAACGGGTAATGGCCCATAGCTGAAGCAATATGCTGATATCCAAGCACATGTGTGAAATGCAGCTCAGACGCTTATGTTGAATATCGGGTTCCCTGCAGTCTGAGGTTATAAAATGTAAATCCACATGCAGGCAATATGATGCAGAGCTGAGCATGTAAGAAACATGGACATGATTTGGTGCAAGATGTTGAATAAAAACTGACAAAAATAGAAAGAAGGTGACCCTGAAAGATCGTTCAGAAGACTGTAGGCTTTCGCACAGAATGATGCAAAAGAGAGAAACGTTCAGCAATAAAACCACCAAATGTGAGGAGACTTGAAAACGATTTATCAGGGCTGACTTCCACAGCCACCCTGTGAAAATAGTCAAACATTAAAAGCAGGCCAAGCTGGTAACACTCAGCAGAGCTTATGAAGGCTGAACACAGGTGTAACCAATAATGAATGAACACAGGTGTTAACACTGTTCTGATTAGCTTAGATTAAGACTGAATAGTAAAGACGGCTGAACCCGAATGAACAGCTGGTAGTGAATAAATAAGAAAAGAGACAGAACAGTGATCTGCTGCCTGACACACAAATGATCTGCTCCCCCTGATGTCCAAAGAAACCTCAGGCTATCAAGCTTCTCACACTGAGCTCAGCAGGATTCATCACAAAGAGAGTGAGAAAGTCCTGGAGTGATTTACAGAGAGAAGTCAGGGGAGCAGAGCCTGACGGATAAAACTGTATGATTGTGTTTGAATCTAGTCTGGGAAAAATCTTCACTGTCAGTACTGTTAGGTTACATTGGAATGTGATGTTTACTCTACAACAGGGGATTGTCACCAGGTTTTCTGAATGTTTTGTTAGAATAAGCTTTGGGCTACATTTGGATGGAAACATATAATATAGGAATTTTCAGATAACACATAAATACTCTGTGGTCCTGTTTTCCAATATTCTCAAGTATTCCAGAGAATATTTGAAATTCTGTGGAAAATGTATTCATGCTGAGCTGTTCTTATGCTACGCACAATTTAATCTATTAAATCCATGAAAACACCTAAATCAATCAATCAAAGAGCCTTTATTTATATTAGAGAGATCCTTGAGGGGGAACGCTCATTTACAATTATATCAAGTCAGTTACAGACACAATTTAAAGACACACGGCAACGTCAGAATAAAGGAGAAAGACATGATTGATTAAAGGACATTAACGTATAAACAATAACCAGTAAAATGTAGATAAATCAGGTGTATAAGATGAAGACTGAAATGCATTAAAATAGTTGTAAAAACCAATAGTTTTAACAGTTAAGATAAAAAAATAAATAAACATGATATAATAAAGGCTTTTACCTTTTTATTTGGGAAGTAAACCTCAAGATTAGTTTGCCTTATGGCTCTACCTTGTTGGTGAGTATTTTGCATACAGACCTAAGACATTTACGGTAAAATACTTTTCCAGAAGGGAACAATATGCCTTTGCTTGTTTTGCCCAGTTTTTCCTTTTAACAACACATTTTCCATAATCATAGATTCTAATTTCACTTCATTGATTTAAATGATCTCTTTGCTTCTGTCCTGAAAAGATTGCGTTACACTTTGTCTTAGATTAATGGAAACGTCTGCTTTCTTATAGCATAGGAAGTAACATCTTAATTTAAGCACAACATATATGTATTGAAGTTATCTAAATCAATCAGTAACAGCATTTTCCTGGCCTTGAATAGTGTATGCAGCGGAGGCAGCCGATCCTTATCTTATGAGCCTGAGAGGCGAGCCCCAGGGCAATATAATTCTGCAGAGCCCTGACTAGTAATTAAGTTTATCGGCGTGAGGGAAAAGTATTGATTCAAGGTGAACTACAAGAAATTGACCTATGCATTAATGTATTTGGTTTTTTTACACTGTGTTTTAAGTTTTTTTTTCTGTTGACATTCATTTGGAACATTGCAATTGTTTAATTGAATTTAGCAACGCATAAGAGGCAAATGTGTTTCTTTTTTTTCAACGAATCCAAAAGATCTTAATGAAATTAGAGAATAATTCCAAAAACATCTCGTTAATGCAAACTCACGAAAAACATATTTATATGAATCCACAGCTGAAAATAGTCCCCAACAAATATACTGTTAATGCTTTGTAGGTAACATTTACAAATAACTGCAGTGCCAGGATGTTGTAGGAAATGTTTTAATGATGAAAATGAATCAGTATCATTTTGGCTTGCTTTTTAGATGTAGGTCATTTTCAGAAGCGAACAGGGTGGAGGCTTGAGGAAGTGTGGAGGTATTAGAAAAGGGTTAACACAATGTTTGAGTGTTTTGTGTTTTATGGGGTTTGTTGTCCGCAGCAAAATTATAGGATAACAAAATGCCTTATTCTGTAATCCTGTTGAGTTTTTTTTGTCATGCGCACTGCAGGTACATCAAATGACTTTTCTGCACGTCAATGATGATCATTTCATTCATGCAGTGCAGTAGGAAACCACAGTTCACTGCTGTGGAGAGATCACCCTGTACTGCTCTGTACATCCGCTGGGCCTCTGCATCAAATTCTAGACTTCAAGGTGTTTTTTTTCACAGGAGGGAAACATCTGGTTGTGTATATTTCCCCCCTTTTGGAAGAAATGGTGGCTTTCATATCAGGTTTTTTTTTTTCTGATGTGGAAAAAAAAGTCTCAGAAGCGAGTCACAGCAACAGGAAGAAATGAAAGGAATTATTCCTCCTGCGTTAAAAAAAACAACAAAAAAACCTGCTGCCACGGCGGAAGCAGAGCCCCTCGAGAGCCAAACAATCAGTTGCAACCATTGTCGAGTACATCAGATTAAATGTAAATTCTGCACTCAGTCGCAGGCTTTTTTTCCCCTCTACGATAACATCTTTATAAGCACATTATTTCCCCTCATGAATTCTTGCTATCTCCTATTTGAAGACAAAATACTACTGCTTACCTTTTTATGGGTTATTTTGCCACAGAAGCAGAATAAATGTGCATCATTTCACACTTGGGATTAAATTACAGTAGAATGGTGAAGAAAACAGAAACATCTTCAATTAAAATAGAAATTTTATTTCATACACTTGAGTTATTAAAACAAATTAATCAGGATACAATGATCTTTTTAAAATTATAATCAAGAAGCCTGAAAATGATTTGCTACAAAAAAAAACGAGCAGATTATCCAAACAAATAAAGATAAACTTCATAAGAAAAGGAAAGTTTAGAGTTTAAAAAAAAGGAAAGCTTAGCAATATTTAAACATTTTACAGCTTTGCTTTAAGCAGGTAAGCATGCTTTATCTTTAAAACAGACATATCTAAAATAAACATTGAAATACAATACAGATATAGTATTAGTTTCAATTTAACGCCAGGATTTGTATGAGTTAGCCCTTCAAACAAACAAAATATGACTCAAGCCTTTTTTTTTCTTAGTCAGCGGACACTAAGAGTGTTGTTTTATTCAAATCATTGAAGAGTGTTATCTGTGTGATGTCATCGACACTTTTTCATTAGGCACCAGACCTCCCTGCAATGAATTAGCCAACAGAATGTATCGAACATCTTGTATCAACACCTCCTTGTGCTTTCAGCTCCTCGCCACCTAGATGGTAGCACAGATAGGCTTGAATAAATAATTTGGAAGTGTTGATTCCCTGTAGTTCCTATTTAATTTAACATCCCAATTAGTATAAAATGGGGTTGTGACTTTTTTATATCATATATGAAGCAACTTGTACTACCATATGTGATGGTGATGACCATGTTTTGGCTTAAATAGAGGTCACGCTGTTTGGCTCCATATTTAGTTGATGTAGGTAACTTTTGTGGCCTTTGATCTTTTCACGTCACAGATATCAGAAGTCACGGTCCCAACCAGAGAACTCTTCCTCTGCCTTTGTCTGATCAAGAGCAAAACGGTCAAAATTGATATAGCAGGGGCCCTTAAGGAGGAGAAGAAAGCAATAGTTAATAGTGGATATATTTAATAAAATAATATGCAGTCCTGCCAAAGCATGACTTATTAACAGTAGCTGTAGCCTTCAGCTTGTTTCCTCTTTGTACTGAATTTTTTCTTGAAGTCTTAAATGTGCTGAAAACTTGTTCAGCTTGTTACAGTGAGTGATGGTGTTTTATTCAATTTATTTGAAAATTCTGCCAAAAGTTTGTTCCATTTATCTTTGTGTCAAAGTGTAAGCTTTATTAATGCAAAGGCCTTTAGGACAGATTTCAATCTTGCAACAGAAAATACCACGGCAGACAGCACTAATAAAGGTGATCAATAAACTTTGTCAAAACAAACTTTCTTTTAACACTGAGTTGGTGTAAAAAGACAAATGTTGGTAATGCTTGATCTGTAATAGTGTTCACCCTTGAGTTCTTTTCCCCATGCTTGAGCAGTGTGTGTGTGACTCTCTGTCATGTCCTTTGTTGGTTCAGATTATTTTTCAAAGGCAGAGACTATGTTGTTTCCTCTGTTACCATAAACCTGTGTGAATGACAATAACATATGGAGTCCCACAGGGCTCCACTCTTGAGCCACTAAAGGCTCTTACACACTGCCAGTTAAAAGGCAAATACTCACACTCCTGTCTCGCCCACTATGTGAAATGCACAGAGTTCACGTCGTTCTGACCCTGATCCGCCATCGGAGATGGTATCAGAGAAGGGAAACACACAGTGAAGTGTGTCGAGCAGGCAAAGCGGAGCAGCACTGTGTGTGTGCACATGTCTGAATGGGTGTGTATATGAAATGTGTGTCATACATTTTGCCTCTCGTGCTGTGCAATCTGTAAATCTGTAGGAATATTTTAGCCATTTTTTTCATATTTTTGCAATTTTTGCAATTTTTGCAATTTCATATTATTCTATCTTTATATTTCAATTTTGATTTTACTCGACCTGTTAAAGTGTTTGAAATGTGCAATAGAAATAGGGCAACCTTGCCTTGTCAAGCCTTATTCAAAATTCAATAAAACCACTTGATACCCTCACAAAGTCGTGTTTAAGACATTAGCAAAGATTTTAAGTGTCACTTCAAATTAAATAAAATCCAATGATAAATCATTATGTTTTATATTTCACTCTGTGAAAATGAACAAGCTGTGTTCCTAAGTGTGCCACCACACAAGAGGTGTTTGCCAATTTTCACAAAAAAGTAGGCAAACAGATTCTATTTTTGTTTTGGCTCACCTTGCGTATGAGCCGGACAGTGGGGGCATCAAGCTGACCCATTCGCAGCTTGTGCCAGTTCATGTTGCTGAACCACCTGGAGGGATGAGATGAGGGAGAGACAAACTGAGACTGATAAATAACTTTGATTAAGAGGATAAAAGAGATCAGCAGGTGAATACTTCTGGCACACAGATTTTACTAATCAGCAATCAGATATATAACATGTAGCCTAGTTATGGCAACCTGTGATGTCGGACATCTTTGATCCCGTTCTTGGTGTTTCCTAACCTCTGGCCAGGTCGGGGTCTGCAAACAAAAACACAGGATGTCATTCAGAAAAATGACGCTGAGATCTATTTTCAATTGGATTCTGCTTTACAATGGATTTTCATTAAAAAAGAAACATTTTCTCTATTTGCTGATATTGTTAATTAATGCTCTGTATGAGTAACTGTATGAACCTTATAATTCAATTTGGGCAACTTATTTTACTTTATTTATATTAAATTGAAAGATTTATGGCAATTTGAAATTTTAATCGTAATGCTATCAGTTTGTTGGTCTCACCTGGACAGTTTGTTGATAATAGACTTGGCTGCCTCACTCAAGAAAGATGGATACTTGATCACTCCATCCAAAATCTTGGCATAAATCTTCTGAGGCTCAGAACTTGAAAATGGAGGGCTGACCAGATAAAAAAAAAGATTTAAAAAAAAAAAAAAACATTTTGTGGTCTGACAGTCAGGTGCTGTTGGGTTATCTAAAACTATGAGCGCAGTCACAGGATTCTGCAGATATCAGTCATATTTCTCTGCTGCCATCTGCTGGTTCACACTGAGACTTTATTCACCAACAATCATTTTTCTCACTACACAATTATTTGTACATTCTTTTGACATGAAAGTTCTTCTTTGCTTCATTTTTAAATGAAAGATGTTTTTGCTTTTGGTTTGTTAATACTAGACAGCACCAATTATTTTTTTCCCAAATAAGTGCAGGTGTATGAGAATCAGTGTTCTTATTAGTGTTACCTTCCCGCCAACAGCTCGTAGATCAGGATGCCGAGGGACCAAAAGTCAACTGCAAAGTCATGTCCTTGGTTCTTGATGATCTCTGGGGCCATGTACTCAGGAGTACCAACAAATGAGTATGTCTTCTCACCACGCACCATCTCCTTTGCAAAGCCAAAGTCCACCTGCACAATGACACATAAGCAGAGTGACGCGCATTATTTGCAAGACAGCCTCTTCTCTTTTAAAATCCCCAAGACAGAGACTCATGAAACTGGACACACATGCACAGACAGCAACTCACCAGTTTGACGTAGCCCTTAACGTCCAGCATCAGGTTCTCAGGCTTCAGGTCTCTGTACATGATGTTCTTCTTGTGGAGATAGGCATAGGCCTCCACCACACAGGCAGTGCAGAACATAGCGACGGGCTCCTGGAAACGCCCACTGAAAATCAAAGTAAACACATGCTTTACTTCCCTACTGTCACTTTAAACTGCAATAATGCAACTTGAGTGTAAATACAAGTTTTTAAAAAATAAAAAATTCTAAAGATGTAACATCGCAATGAATTAAGTTTCCTACCAAGAAAAACTCTACTGATTTTTCAGCATTCCTACAATAAAGCTCAAATCTACAATCAAGCTAAATCATTCATTTACACTAACACATACAGACCATGTTTTCTAATCCATATTCTACATGAATAAGTGAATAAAATTGTAACTTTTGTCTGTGTTTTCTCACACTTCTTTGAGTTTGGTCCAGATCTCTCCTCCAACACAGAACTCCATGACCATGTAAATGTATCGGTTGTCTTTAAAAGCTGCATGAAGCCTAAAAAGAGGGAGAATGGAAAGAAAATTAAATTAAAGACCAGCTAAGCCTCCCAAGTTCTCATTAAGGATACTTAGGATCGTATGTTTCGGTTTACCTGACAATGAAGTCACACTGGATGGCTTTAAGGATCTTCTTCTCAAACAGCATGTGCTCCTCCTGTCTCTTGGCAACAATGTGCTTCTTGCTGACTTTTTTCATGGCGTAATATGTCCCATGATTCACTGTGGTCATCTTAAAAAGGTCAACAAAACAAAACAATTGTCATCATGAATCTATGATTACCTATCCTGGGGTACTTTCAGTATGAACAAACTTTCAACTTTATTGGAAGCATAGTCATTTTTCTGGGATCTAGAAACTAAAACTTTGAAGGTTCTTGCTTTCATTTTTGCATAGAAATATTGAATAAATCCTCTGTTCTCAGTCCAGTAATTGTCCTCTGTTTCCTCAGTCTTCAATAGCACTTGTTCTCCCTCTTTGGGATTCTCTCACAAGACAAATGTTAAATATTCAAGGCTCAACCAAATGTTTTAAAAATGTCTCCCAACTCAAAGAAACAACAATTATCTTGGTTAAATGCCATTATCAAATCAGAGAAACAAACTCACCAGCTCAACACGACCGAACCCCCCAACTCCAAGCGTGACAGGATCTCCATGAAAGCGACCCTCCTGATACAACACAGGAACCAAATCCTTAAACCTCAGAGCAGAGATGTGACTGCAGGGGAGACACAGACAGCAGGGAAATGTTTACGTAAAAGTATTTCATTTCTTGGGAGCAATTTGTCTGATTTATAGTTCTGTGTTACGTCTTCATCAGCCTGTATTCACCAAGTCTCCCAGTGTCACTTACCTGGACTTTTCTGTTGCTTTTGCTTCCTGCAGCACTTTTGAGCTGGGAGTAAAAACCAAGTAAGAGTCAGAATTTGAGCAGAAATAAAACCGGAACATATTTCACTTTTTTTTTTAATCAAAACAGAGGACAAGATATTTACGTAAATAAGATTTCAACAGTACATACTCGTCAAACAGCTCCAGGTGCTCTACAGGAATTGTCTCCTCAAAGACCCTAATGAAAGTCATTGTTAGTCAAACTGAGAAGTGTGTGAAAGTACACAACAAACAGTGAAAACGATGAGAACAAGAAAACAGTAACAGAGGACTTATAGGCTGGATGAACTTCTTCCAGGATCTTTCTCTTCAGGAGAAACAGCCGTCACTGCAGGGCACGACTGAACCGAGCATGACCTCTGTTTACACTCAGAATTGAATGTTGAATTAGACTCACTCCTTGTCAATGGAGAAGCAGGTCACAGGGCCGTCAGCAGTGCAGGTAGCAGTTCTCAAGACTTCCCTGGAAGATGAGGAAACATTGCACATGTTGACCAGTCAGGAAAAAAGTATTTAATTATGGTACTTTTAAATTTGTTGACAACTCAGCAAGGATTATGAAACTTTTAGGTGTAAAAAAAATGGCATTAGCAACTGCAATCAAATACATCTTAAATGTTGTTTTATTTGCTTATGAGCACATTGAGAAATTTTGCATATTTATGGATACATTGATCTTTTTGCACTAGAAAAGGCAGAGACTATAAACTGATGACCGTAGATTTTTAATTTAGCTAAGAAGCTTGTGACTTCCTCTTTAGTCTCCCTGTGTTTTCATCATTTTTCTTTTGGATGTTTGTCTTCCCCATGGACTCTGCCAAACCATAAGCCTTTCGGTTTCTCATTTTGTTTCTCCGAAAAAATATCAATATTAGAATCTCGGTCCTCTACCTTAATAACACCCCCAATGTGACCAATTCTAGATTTCTTAGTAAGTAAAGAAGTAATCGTAAATGCCTGGTCAAATTAAAAAGATCAACCGCAGGTTGCAGAGCCCAAATATCAGGCACGACAGCAGCAGAGGAAGGTACACAGAGCTGTGAATGCTGAACAAGGCTGTAACAAATGCCCTCAGGCATGTGTTGCCATGGTTACCGTATAAGGGCCTGTTCCCCAAAATGTTCCCCTTTTCCCATCCGCCGAATCTGCTTCTGATGACCATTAACGTTCTTGGTCACCAGGACCTGAGGAAGAAACACACATAATTTAGAGAGGATAATATAGAGAATACAGAGAACTATAGCGACAGCATATGCCCTGGCTGCAGCAGTACATGTCAAACATTAAGTATTAATTTGTGCACACAATGTCTTATGGCATTACCTCTCCTTTGAGAATGATGTAGAAAGTGTTTCCCTCTGCTCCTTCTCGAACTATAACATCTTTGTCCTGGTACTTGACCTGAGGAAAACAAGAAAAAGACCTTTCATCTTGCAAAGTTTTGCATGACAACAGTCGCTTGTAAAACTCAAAGATATGAGACATCTAGGCACAAACCTCTTCCATTGAGTCAAGGATTTTGGACAACTGGACATCATTCAGGTCCTTCAAAGTATGAGACCTGGGACAGCAAACTTACAGTTGTTACACAATCCATTGAGTCGTAAAAAAAAACGTCTTTGCTGTCATTGTAGTATCACGAGGAAAACGAACAAGTCTGACTGCTAACATTTCCATTAGCAATGACAAATACTGCAGAGATGACAGCAGGTTAAAATCTTGATATCTGCACATTCTTCAAACTCACGTTTTCAAGAAGCCCATCAGCTGCTCTCTTTTCTTCTTGGACTTGTTGGTTATGATCGTCCTGTAGGTCTGTCGCTCCATGCACCACAGGCGCACTGTTGTCTTCGCTGCAACAAGAAATAAGACTTAGAAGTCTCTCATCAACTTTACTATCATTACAAAATACCACACAAGTTTAGCTGATGGAAACTAAATCAAAATATACATACACATACATTTGTGATATAATTCATATCCAGCCATCCATCCATCCATCCATTATCTTCTGCCTATATGGGTCTAAGTCATTCCAGCTTCCCCTGAGGGATTCTCGGGGCAGGCCATCCATGGCCAAAACTCTGGGTCAACCAAGGGGTGTCATCATCCAATGTTTGACAGGAGAAGCCAGCCGAAAAGTTCCTATGAGAGGTACCCATATGCATCCTAATCAGGTACCTGTTACAATTCAACTGGCTTTTTTTCTACGAGAAGGAACAGCGGATGAGAAGTGTCTCCCTGCAGAGTGAAATCAGTTTGGTCACTTTTACCCTGGATCTCATTCTTTCTGTCATTATATTGACCTATATTGGTAGACAAGTTAATTCAATTCTTTGCCTCCTGGGTCAGCTCCCTCTTCACTACAAGGGTTTGATACAATTCCCTGATGCTGCATCAACCCATCTGTGAACCTTACAACTCATTGTTCCCTCAGCTTTCAGCAAAGCCCAAAGGCACTTGAACACCTTTACTTCCCCTCACTCTCCAACCTGGGCATCCATGTGGCATTGAAGAACTGCTTTCCCCTCCTGACTCTTCTCTCAGTTTACCAGAACTTCTTTATGGCAGACTGAATTTTTTTGTCTTCATAACTTCCCCAGACCTTCTTTTGACGACCAGGTTAGAAGGCCTTACCACACAGCTTTCTTTATTGAAAGAAAAACAATCCCATTGCGTCTCATAATTATGTGTGCATGTCCTTCAAAGAGCTAACATCACAAGGGCTGACCTCTGACAGTTGCTGTCCGTTTGCAGTTATACAGGATGGCCAACTCCCCGAACACGTCACCAGTGGTTAAAGTGCGGAGGTCCCGACCTGCCTGTGTGACTCGGAGCTCACCAGCTGGAAGATGGAAGGAAGGGAAATTAGATGGATGAAGAAAAATAGTAAAATTTCAATTGATATATAAAACAAACATCCACACACACTCAGGTATGTTCCCACCTGCTACTATGTACATGCTGTCCCCTTCAGAGCCCTCTTTGATGACATCCTCCCCAGGTTTGAAGTCAGATACCACTAAGAGGTCCACCATCATGGCTGTTTGCTCATCATCGAGTCGGCTCAGGAAGTCATTCTTCTGGATGGATTTGATGATCAGATTTGTCTCACTGGTGAAAAGGATGGAAAGAAGTCATCTTTCTCTAGAGCATTGAAAGCTTAAAGAGCTATGCAAACGCATTATATATGTAACCAGTGGCTGACACTTGCGGTAAACGTAATGAGATGTGCCACTGTGTCAAAGTAAAAACCCTGCACGCTCTTACTTTAATGATAATGTGCCCTCATCAGCAGCACTGCAGTACTGATTACCAACCTGTCAGTTTTCTTCACCCTAGTGCGTGTAATTTCCAGGGTCTCAGGAATCGGTTCATGGGCGATGACAGCCGCACGGCTCTTCCTGACCTCCGGTTCAATCTCATTACTGCGCCGAGCAGGAAACTCTGAAACGGACAGAAGACAAATGGAGGTTTAACCGCTGTTAATGGCTGCCAAGTTACACCTGAATGTTAAATCAAAGGTCACCTTGACCATATGGGTTAGGGTTAGGGGCATGTTAGATTCTTACCAAGATCATCGTACTGACTGTGCAGATCCTGCAAAAGTTTTTCTTTCTCCTGTAGTCGTTGTTCTGTGATGAAAATGAAAAATACAAAATAAGAAATATTTAGCTACTGTGCTGTTACATGACCTCTACATGTCAAATATTAGACTTAAAAATGTTTTTCTAATAGCACTAACTATACTGAGAGACAATTATTGATATTAATGTTTAAGAACTATTGATGCATTGGCCCATATTCATTTTCCGAACATAGATATTTAACATTTTATGGTCTTGAGATATATGTGAGTTTAACATTTGCATTGTAATCGTAGATTTGTAGTGTTCATGCTATAAAAGGTTATACTTTAATTTCTCTGGATGCAAGCCTTAGCAGAATAGAAACACACAAGCACACTCTGGTCTGTGCATCGACAGCTAGCATCCAAAAGCTAACATCTGCAGGGGAAATTAGCACAAATAATACAGAGGTCGAATGTGTGCAAATGGTGCAGAGTCTGAATGCATCTTGTTTACTCTAAAAGTTAGTGTTGCCTTTATGCTCTTCGTGCACAGCAACAAATATGTAACATAGTGGTAATGCTTACACTTAAATTTAATTCAACTTAAATTATCCATTATTCCTTTAAGGATAATGTATCGTTTCACATTGCAATATCACAGTTGGCTGTAGGTTACAACCCAGCTTGACCACACCTGATGTCGGGTGTGGTCTGATGTGTTGCTTTGTTCATTTTTCATCGTTATGGTTGCACTTACCCAGGTCTTTGTTTTGTCTCTGCAGCTCCTGGTTGATGAGACATTGCTTTTCCAGCTGCTGCTTCAGCTCCTCCAGTTGCTTCTCCATGACTAAAGTGAGTTAAAACAATCTTAAAAAAACTATCCACATAATGGAAAAATCAACAAATTGCCTGCAGCACAGTCAATGATGGACAGGTAGGAATGGTTGAAATGCTGCAGCTGAACTCAGCCATGAAATACAACAGCTAACAAGCTGATATGTATGGAGACTTAGCATATAGCCCCAGATGTCGTATTTCAACTGTATGAATCTATGCCTTTTTCAGTGGCAATGAACTACTCTGCATTGCATACTGACAGCAAGGGCTCTACTGAATTATGCAGACTAATGATGGACAGTCAACAGGGTGCTTCAGAAGTCTGTCACACCCTGCAAGCCTCTGCTAAAGATTCCCTGCTGCTCCTTTTCCCTGTAACGGTACACAACCTATCCAAATGGTACAAAAACCTTCTTTTTGCTCTCTTATTGCTGGATGTGAGCTCATGTGCTTGCATATTTAGACAAAATGTATGACAAATGTGTATGCAAGCTAACTTATTGGCACATGCTAGGTTTGCCATACACTGTATCTAACATCTATTGACAGAATTCCAGGAAATGTGCAGGCCTCCTAGCCCTTTCATTAAGCTGTTGATGGAAAGCCATTCATGGCTCTATTGACAGGTCAAACATTACAATCAATACAAATACAAAGACACTGGTTACAATATCCTGAACACACACACACATAAACACACATAAATCCACTCCAGTAAATCCTGAGTTGGACGAGCTGTTTGCCTGTGATCAGTCATCACGTGACCTCAATCATGGCGGCCTCACCCTGAACATTGGACACTTGTGAGATTAGACATGACGGTAAAGTGAATCATAAAGTCACTGACCAACCAAAAATTGGTCCATTATTGAAGTGAGCTGTTTCTCTACCATTGGAGAGAAGATTATACTAAGAAGGAATTTGATAAGAAAATCGGGCCACTGAGATTTACTGCTTTTATGGTCCCCTTAATAACGCTAATGATTCACTATCAAAGGAGGACACAATGTGATAGCAGTGCACCTGCTGTGCCAGGAGTCAATACACATGTGTTGCAAAGACACAACTTCATGGTGAGTACATTAATGGGAGCAAAATGACAAAAACAAAATTGTTGAGCCACACTAAGAAGTCAAAATCGTCTCAGGGTGTTTTCTTAACCTGTCATCTGTGCAAACACAACCTGTACACTCTGTAACCCTGTACATTTCCAGCAATAAAGTAAGACAGGAAGGGCTGATTATGATGATAACTTTTAGTGCCTGATGGTCAACATTTAATAAAGTAATCCAATAAATCCAGTGATGTGCTTTCAGCCCTGTGGAAGCGGGCTGGGATTAAAGCAGTGACCCAATAAGTAACCGCACACTACTGGTTGGATGTGCTACTCCAATGTCTACAAAAGATATTTCAAGTACATTTCAAATTAAAACGTGAGACATACTGATTTCACAGTGATGCTTGGAACCAAATAACTTTAATAACTTGAGCGAACGATCTGGGAGAGTGTTATGGTAAATAAGCAAAGGCAACTTAAAAGTGTGGGAGGTGTTCTGTTGGCTTTTAGCTGCACAGCAGGAACATGATGCTGGACTGATACCCATTATACTGATACAAGCAGCAAACTGCACACTCCATACCACCTCAGTCATTACTTATTCATGACCAAGTGTAACTACAGCTGAATTCCCAAAAGATGCTTTGTAATAGAAACCTAAAGGGAACATGTGTCTAGACTGGTGGTGAATTAAGGAGGCCTTTTTCCCCTGATATTTAGGTATTCTAGCACATGCACAGTATAACATTTAAACATTTTTACCTTTTTATAGCAAGTACAGTAAAGGTGTGGTTCACTGTTTACAAGCTTGTTAAACTAAGAACCTGTCATTTAAACACTTGAAGCCTTGTGATGAATTATTGATCTTGAGCACAGACTTAACAACACAGCTCTCTTAAAGCCTTTTTACATGAAATCCAACTCTCAAACACACGACATGTAATATGTATGATAAGTCACACTCACCTGCAGGCTGTGTGTTGATCACAAGAAAGGGTGACAGTCCGTTCAGCCTATAAAGGCTGCATGGATCATAAGGGCCAAAAAATCACCCTGGACTGCCAACAAGATCCACTCTCAGTTGTAGAGAAGTATTTGCTGTATTTCTGCCAGACCCCAAGACTGTCTACAGAAAGGACACACCTGACCAGATACAAGCATGCAGGCATTACTTCTTCTTTCGCTGCACACTTTCTCTGCTTACACTGCCATGTCTGCTCCTTGGATTTTACTTTTTTTACTTACCGCTGGCTATCTCTCACTCTCAATCTTTCCTCTCTTTTTCTCTATCTGTCAGTCTCAGCAGCCCTGGTGTTGAATCATTAACTATAACCTGAGGCCCCTCCCATCACACCAGGTAGAGGAATACAGGCAAGAGGAGGAGGAGGATGGACCGGACAGAAATTTGGAGTGTAAAATCTTTGCTGAGCCAGATTTTTTTATGTTTGATGAATTGCTTTTTATTGGTTATTCTCAAAAAATGTTATATTGGTTTTTACTTTTAAACATAGCTGGTGTGATTTATTATTTCCAGTTGATGTAGAAGATGGATACCTGTGGAGTCATAAAGTGTGTGAAGGTCATTGTAGAAGATGAGAAGAAAGGGAAAGGCCATTAAGGTAGTCTGAGAATCACGCAAGCCACAGAGATAATTTTTTTATATGCCTTTATGTGCTTTCTTATGTTGATAATGTTCACTAGGCAACACATTTTATTCTCATATCATGTCTAAACCGGGAAGCTTAAATGCTGTACAAATGTTGCACAGCACCCTGGATTGAAAGGACTGCTCGATCATTGCAAAATTCCTAATCATGATTATTTTGTTTTCTATTGATTATCGATTATTAACATGCTTATTCGTTGATTTCACAACATCTGGATCACATAAACACAAAAAATAAACTATGGTGGCTGTGTTTTTGAGGCAGTGATGAAGGCCTATTTTGGTCAAATTATAACAACAAACACTTACCACACATGAAAAGACCTATGACATTACATTTCGGCACAGTAATCGTTAATCTCAATTGTCTTGTTGAATTGTGGAAAGCCAAAACATCATTGAAACTGAAACTCGATTATATATAACTCGCCCTATATAGTTGAAAGTTTAAAAAATGTAGGTTATCCGACACATTTGTATAATTTCACTGCTTCATGATAACTAAACTGAAAAAAATGGGAATGGACATCTTGTAACATTTCAAGGAAACTTACTTATCATAAACCCTTAGCTACCATCTGCTTACAGTTTACATTAGCGTTCAACTTCTACTTAGCAAACATGTTTTAAAAGTAGCTTAACTGTAACCTCCTAGCTAACAACTATAGCTATCTATCATTATTGTTGTATAAATTCTACGTTCCAATGGCGTGGTTAATTAGCTAACGTTAATGTTAGCATGAAGTGGTCGATCGCTCAGGTTAGCTGTTGTCTAACTGTAGAAAAAGGTTTTTTTTAAATGTAGTTTTAACTTGAAATATGGCCTTATGTCCCTCAAGATTTGACTTCCCCTTAACTTTATAGATTCTTAATAACTGATGAAACAGTTTGTCAGTTTCCTGATGTTATACGACTTGCAACCTGAAAAACAACTGTAGGCTACAACATTGTAGCAGCGCAGAATAATGAACTGTCTACAACCTTTTTTTGTGACTTTTTGACTCTTGGGCAATATTTTTTGTCGTGTGATCATCTTTCCTCGTTGACTTACACTCACATAACTGACAGGTGAAGTTGAATAAAATAGTCAAAGCTGAGGGCAACAATTTGTAAATTATATCTGCAGGAGTGCCCAAGTGGCCATGGTACTGACTTTCTGTGTTTCCACATGCCACTGTACTGTATGTTTTCCATGCTGCAGTGTCATTAAATGAATCTGAATGAGGCTGAAGGGTTAGCATTGTGACAGAGGGCGTGGGCCTTTATTGTTCATGGTTAATTATTGATACTGTCTGGTTAATCAACGACATGAATGACCCCACGGCTCAGAGATTAAACAACTTAGATTTCAGCTGTGAAACTGAGGGGAACTTGATGATAGGCTGCGAATGTATTATGACCATTTTCCATTTGGAAAAAAACAACAACATTGTAATAGGAAATAACCCAAACAAGCTCAGGCTTGTGTTGCTATTGACTACAACCAGTGATGATAATGACTTCCTGTTTGCAGAAATCAATTTGATTAAATGAAGATGTAAAAATCGACCACCTGACAAAGTTTGTATTGTTCACGTCATTCTTTATTTCATGTGTCATTCAATGAGGAAAAACTTTAATACATAGTTCATAAATCCTTGAAGTCTTTTAAAAATGTAACTGATATTGTAAAAACACTATGATGGTGGTTACAGCTGACACAAAGGTAAAACTAAAACATAAAGAAACATTTGTTCATAAAACAATAATTTAGAGGCAAGTGAACAACTGCAAACAGCCTAAGAATAATTTAACTCAATAAGGCAGCAATACGAAATACTTTTCCTAATATCACATCATGTCTATAGTCACAGCTTAAACTTAAAAATCACAACAAACAATGCTTCTGGAAACACACACAATCATAAAACAAGATACCTTGTTTAAAAATAGACTAGTGCATTCTGGTGATTTACAAACACATACATTTAAGTTTTTAGCTTAATATCAACAGATTTTAAAGATCATCACTTCACGCTCACATTCTTCTTACAAAGTCCTAATATCATGCTCAAATTCAAATGCCCCAAAACATCAAAAAATCATCATGTGAACTCAAAGTGGCATCAGATATAAATGTGCATGAATGTCAAACTGAAGGCATATGAAAGCACACTCAACTTTATAACCACTTTCTATTTGAAATGATTGACAGGAAGTAGAAAAGTACTCCAAGTCGCACGCTGAACTGTGACTGAAGTCAGCTCCAATGTTCTCATTACTCTTCTGTAGTTTTACATTATTTACATTGTAGCCATTACACTTCAAAAGCAATTACAAGCGTACAATAGTTTTACATTTTGCTGATTTGACATTTAAATAAAAATATCTTACAAATCCACAACTCTTTTTTTCATACATATCACTGCTGTGTGGGTGTTTCCATTTTATGATCGACAGCTCTAAGAACTCTAATGTTTGCAGGATTACACAGAGTATTGTATGTAAAGTGTGCATGCAAGGCTTCAACCAGAGTGAATATAATCCTTTAAGGCAAGTTACACACGTCAATGAGAACAAGTCTTGCGAAACAAAAGTAGCAAATGAGGTGAAACAAACAATAAATGTTCACAATCAGTTCATGTCTATCATTCTTAAATAGTTTGTAAGTCCAAGCACCCATTTTCAAATGTGCGTTCTGTGAAGTTAGGACGGCATGTGGGAGGAACAATATCACGTTAAGCACTTTACTTTCTATTCACAATTAATACAAAAGCTAGTGTATTTGTTCTTTTTCTGCAGACACAATATTGAGCCTTCACATATCAATTAGCAGCATGATATCAATTAGTTCTTGACTATTTGAAAAGCTTCTTTGATTGCTAATTACAGACAACCTGAGAGGGTGAGGAGGTAGATCAGCTTAGCTGCAGTGCGATTGTATGATTGTACAATACAGTTGGTCATTCTTTGTGCAAGGTTTTCTTTAAGATGACAGCATACAAAGCTAAGCAACGCATGTTATTATGATGCATTTCACTGCATTTGCCACTGATGCCAGTGACTTTATATTCTCTGTTGCACCTCCTGCTATGAAGCAGTCATTCTCATATTTCACTCAGGTTCAGGGTACATACAGAGGGACAGACTGAAAGATGATCAGCTAAGCTTTTCTTCCTTAATGCCACAGGCTTTGGTGATGTCCCGCGGGTGCTCAAACACAGCTTGGACAAACTGACCAAACACACGCTCCATATAGCTCTCACCGCGGGGAAACAGACCCTGCAGGAAGGCGATGTGTCCGCCGTGGGCAGTCAGCAACAGAGCGACATTTGGCAGGTTCTGGACGATGGTAAGGGGGAAGGCTGTGGATAGGAAAACAGGAGTCTTAATGCATGTTCACACTTGCACAAATATCCTGAAAAGCTCCTGAAGTTTCCAGGGTGAGCCGAATCTTTTACTCTGACTTAATCAGATCTCCCGCCAGCCACTGAGTGTTTTTTTCCACATGAAGTCCCGAGTGAGCTGATGTGAGAACACAGCAGGGTATAATCAGGAGAAATCACCTCAAGCGAGTGAGAGGTCAGCACACGAACATAGATGCAATTAAACTGCTGCATTATGTTTTCAGTTCTCCACTCTTTTGTTGATATTGTGATTCTGTTGAACTACACATAGCACTGATATAAAAAATATTCTCATTATAGTGTTGTATCGTGGAATCCGTTGCTTCTTTAATCACTTCCATTGTTTTAATGTCACATCCTGCCACAGGAGAACCCCCCCCCCTCCCCCTTAGTATGATAGAGATACTCCCCCGATGTAAGTTGCATGTGTGAACAACCAGATAAGGAGATTTCAAGGGGAGTCTGCCTGAAATATGTGAAATTTAAATCCAGTCACATATGATACATTCTCAGGTAAGAATGACCCCGCATTGGATTTCACATCCATCAAAATACAATCTGAGGCAGTCTGGTGCCCAATCAAATCTTTTTTTTCCATTTTGTATTACTATGCGATGTTTCAATTGTGACCTGCCAAGGGACTGCAGATGTAAATTAGCCCAAGGCTAACTCTGGTACAATGCAACAGAAGGCAACATTTATGATTAATATTGTACATGGTCCCTTTACAAATAAAAAGTTAAGTAAAGTTAAGTATTTATTTAACATATTTCTAGATATTAGAGTCATCTGATAAAAAAGATCAAAAACTGTCTGACCTATAAGCACGACTTCTTTATCCGGCTGATGTATACTCACCATGTTGGGGAGAGAAAGGGTCATCAGCAGCGTTGAGACACAAGATGGGTACTGCTGTATTTGGGAGTTTTTTGTCAGGGCTGGCATCTTGATAATATTCTGTGCAAGATTTATAACCGAATAGCAGAGAGGTGAAGCGTTCGTCGAACTCTCGGATCGTCCTTGCCTACAACAGAGGGATGAAAAGAAATGCAAATAGAGAGGTGCCAACCACACATAATGGGAAATAAATGAAAAAAAAACTATGAGTGAAGTGAATATTATGATGAGGGATACCTTCAAGACATGGTCTAAATCCACCACTTTCTCCAGTATCTTCTTGTGCCTGAGAGAATCAGAATGGGTTTGTTTTCAACTTCCTTGAATTGTTACACTACGTCTACATTTCAGGACTTTATGAAGCTACAACTTCTCTAACCTGGTGACAGCTCGACACAGGCCGTTGGTGAGGTATTTGTTAAAGAGCAGCCAGTTGAGTGGTTCTTCCATTGAGTCAGAGGACTTTTGTGCATCCCAGGGGACAGAGATGGTTAAACCCGCCACCATCCCTGACTCTGTGCGCTTACGGCTGAGGTAGTTTAACAATAACATGCTGCACGGGGTGAAAGGAGAGAGACGGTCAGGGAAAGCAAACATTCATTTGACGAAAAGGTAGCAACTACAAAAAAATACGGAGAAAAGGATACAAGTTCAAGATACATCTGACAATCAAATGAGCTTTTCATAAGAGTAACTAAGAAAACTTCAGGAAGAAAGAAGTCCCAGAACCATCCATCAGCTCACCCTCCCAAAGACACACCAGCACCAAGCACAGGGGCATGTGGGAAAAGTCCTTTGACATGCTGCACTACACGCTCAAGATCGGAAGTATTGGCTGCGCAGTAGGTGATGGGCGTCTGAAGCGAGCAGAGGGACAAAAGAGAAGCGTTTGTGTTAGCACTGCAGAACTGAGTCGCGTTATTCTTGATTTAACTTAAAGCTGAACAAATTCAATAACATAACATCCAAATTAATAAAGTCTATCAAGCTTTCTACATTTACAGGTTAAACAACTGTGCAGCAAACAAGCAGCCTAGGGGAGCTCTACACAAATGTCTCAGAAATGACATTTAAAATGACAATAATGCACATGTTCATCTTTGCTTACCAATAGCTCTTCTCCTCCAACACCTCGGTTGTTGAAGACCACACATCTAAGAGAAATACAATAAAGCAATAATAACACCAATACATTTGATTTAAAACGTGCTCTACATTTGAAGCAAGTCTCAAAGTGCTACAAATTAGAAACAGGAGCATAAAAACAATTTTGAGGTTTAAACAATGAGAGCAGGCAGAGTTGAAATATGAACACAAACAAGCTAAAGGCGAAATCATTCAATGTTTACACTGAACATGCTATACACACTGTGTTCGGTGCCTTGCTCAGGGGTACCTCGGCAGTGCTCAGGAAGTGAACTGGCCCCTCGTAAGCTACCAGATCAATTTCCAGACTTGGTCCGCATCGGGACTTGAACCCTCTTGTTCCCAGCCCAAGTCCCTACAGATTGAGCTACTGCCACCACTCAGAGAATTTAAAGTCATGTCATATTTGTTTCCTGCTTATTTCAACTCAAACTTTCATGTTTTTCCTTCAACAGAAGTTATTTAAATTACTGGATGAAAATATTTAGGCTGTTTACATTTCACTTGTGAGACGGCTGAGGAGAAACTGACCTGTAGCCCCGCAGGGTGGCCTGTCTGATGGCATGGAGCACATAGGACTGTTGGCTGTTCCCTGTCAGGCCTGGGAGGATCAGCACAGTGGGGCGGGTGGAGGATTCTGGGTAGGTGGCATTAGCCTTATTGTCAACCCAATCCAGAGAGATTTGACCCCCATCAATGGTACGGATCAGCTCACTGTGAAAAAAAACAGTGGATTACAAATAAATAAAAAAGCACATAAATTCATATGCACAGGTCTATAGTTTTACGATTAAGAGTTTATCCTACTTGCGATAAGTGACACGGGGTCTGGACTTGAGGAGGGCACAGACCAGAGTTTGAAGCCGGCCCCCCCAGCACCACGGAGTAGGACTGAAGCGCTCAGCCACCACAGGACAGTGCTTATGGAGGAACGCACTAAAGGCCTTGCCAGAAACCAGTACTGGTGTCTGAGAGGAAAATAGAAGTGAAAAGTTTATGAAGCATTGAAGATAACTCGTGTTAAAGACAAAAGAATTCATGCAAAGCCAGCTGGGTGAAGAAGAGGAGCAGACATTTACTGAATTATAGAGCTGGGTTTGTGTGTTTGTGTTCATGTGGTTTGGCCAAAAGAACAATGTTGTATTGAAGCACAAAGAACAATTATGTACCATACTGTTTTTGTTGTTGCACTTCACAGGCAAATGACATCTAGGCTGTTATATATACAAAAAAATACACATTAAGTTTACCAATAATTTATTAGCAAACAAACATGAAGTCATCATGATATCTGTCAGACATTTGCAGGTTCCATTATCTCTAGATTAAACATATGTTGTGTGTGTGTGTGTGTAGTGGTGGTGGGGCTATTGAAGGCTCTTCAGAAACTTGCAGAAGACATTTTTTTTGTAATTAGTTTTGTTATTTATTATAAAATTTCCCACAGATTTTTTTTAGTGTATCATACTATGAGTTGTAGACCATTAATGAATTGTTCATATCAATTCTTCATGGAGGTGAAATAACCTTTAGTCAGCATCGAAGTGCACTCAGATTCAAGTGCAAGGTCAGGCTAACTTTGGACAAACAAACCATGCATATTACATGGGCCTATTTTAAGAAAAGTCAGTCAATCAGCTTTGTGCTGTCCAAAATAAATATATTTGAAAGTAATGGGAAAAAAAAAAACAGAATAGAGAGATAGAATAAATACAAAGAAAAGTGAGAGAAAATCACTTCAACAGACAAAAAGCCGAGATCGGAGGGGAAAAAAAAAACCTAAATAAAACAATTAAATAATATAATGCGGATTAGAAAAAGATAGCCTATGTAAAAAAAAAAAAAAAAAAGTAAATAAAAAAAGACGAGATGAGATTAGGGCGTAATAAAACAAAACAACAAAACAGAAATCTATGAAAAGTAACATTTAAAAAAAAAAAAAGAAAAGAAAAAAGCTGTCAAACAAAAGCGATTAGAGTGCAGGTGTTATTATTACAGCTGGCCTTGACCGCAGTGACTGACCTGACGCTTGCGGCCCCACAGATACAGTGCGGCCGTCAGGGAGCAGATGAACAACGCGTAATGTCTGGAAACACACTCCCAGTATGTGTCCCATAGCTCAAAGTGTGCTAAAAACATTGCTATTATCTATGCGGCTACAACAAGAGAAGAAACCTGGTCACTGGCGGTGAAGAAAATGACTCGTTCCCCGACACAACGGGACAGACACCTTACAGAGAGATGTTAGTACATTTGTCCGACAACCTGCCTTCATCACCAACAGCTAAGAGATGTTTTACTGGGACTCCTCTACTTCAACACCTCCCATCGGGTCTGGCGATGGAGATAAAGAAAAAAAAAGAAAAGCCGGTGAACCAGTCGCAGGGCTTTGCCTCGGGTGTTATCTTTAGGAGGCTGTGCTTCCTGGTTGTCAGATGATGATCGTATGTTTGAAAAGGTACGTCCTACTGGAATATTATGCAACATAGAAAGTAACTAGCACGCATGCGCTGTTTGTCTTCTTCTTCTTCTCTATTTAATGCTGGCTCGTTGGAATCAAAGCGTGCAGAATCACCGCCCTCTACCGCATACTGACAAGGTATGGTCTTAATACTCGGTCTTTTTACCACATAGGCCTATTGATATAATAGTTATTTGGTAAAAATTCTCCTTAGAGATGATTTTTAATTCTAAAATAGATGTGCTGTGTTATCACATTTGACCTGACTATCAGCATCCATGAAGCAAAATAGTAGAAGTGAACTATTTTTTGCCCCTTCGAGTTTATTTAACACATTATTATTGCACAGGAATCTTTATCTTCTTCTTCTTCAGTGTCCTTGACCTTAGATGAATGCATGGACTCCTAAATGTGATTTTCCATCCACATTTTTTTCAACCCTTTCCTGTGTTAGGCTAATGAATTGATACATAAACACATTATTAGCGGCATTGTTACTGAAAGTTCCCAGTCTCATCATACCTTATAAAAAATATTGAGTAAAGTCCTGTTATCTACAAAATGTAAAGCAATACTTTTATTTACAGTAAAAAAAAATGAGACTGGAGATCAAAATAATGATTTATTTATAACAGAGAATAAAAACACAGACGTTCTTGTTTCACCGTGTTGTGCATATTGATTCCTGTTGATTACATGAGATCACTCAATATTTGCCTTTGAATGCAAAACTCAAGTTTTTCCGACAAGATGGGGTCTTTTATGTAAGTCTTTCTTGGTTGACATTACTTGAAGGTGACATTGCAGCAAGGACTCGTTTTTTTCTTCTTCTAGACTTGTGGCATTCCTGCAACCATTTCAGACTCGATGCCACACTCATCATTTCCACGTTTGATCTTGAAATAACCTGAAAATAGAAAAACACAAAAACATGACTGAAGTGCATCACGTGGCCAGATCAGGTGACATTCTGGTTTTTAAGCTACTTGAAATAATAAACAGTGTCAGACTCTGTTTTTTTTTTTGGGGGGGGGGGTTTGTACCTTTATCTCCCCAGTCACTGTTCCAGGAGTTTGCCGCCAGCCAGTACGGGGTCCCGTTTTCCACTCCCCAGCCGAGGATCTTGATGGCGTGACCGCCCAGCATTTCTCCTGTCAAATGCTGGTACACACCTGTAAAAGAGGCACATTGTGTTCAACAATGAGGAAGGATATGTGTGTTTCTGTGTACAGATTCAGAGTTACAACACATGGCAACCCGGTCTCACCCGTCTTGTACAGCAGGAAGTCTGCATACACAGAGAAAGCCGCCTCCACAGGGCCGAACTTGTACAGCTCGGTCATGATCTGTGTCTGATCAGATGGGATGCTGTACGTACGTTTGCCTGTAGAAGGAGGAGAAGACAACAGTTACACTAAAAGATACACAAATCACCGCCTGTCAGAGAAGGCCACTGTAGGGGAAGATGTTTTTACCAAAGTGTTTGTCCTTGGGATAGGATGGCGAGTATCCATCGATGCACTGCTCCACACACTTGGGAGTGTCCTGCTCACCCTGACACGGAGGACGGGTCCCATTAACATGATGCTCACAGGAAGGGATAGTGTAGGGTCTGCAGCCTGGAAAATACAGCAAGATCATTAGTCCAGACCTTTATTACAAGTATAATATTTTCTGAGAAGCCGCGATAACCCATTTCATTCTTACCGACTTTGGAAGCATACAGGCCTCCTGTCACAAGTCCGTTCTTTGCCCAGTAGTCCCAAGCAGCAGAGGGATAACCACCAAAGCAGCTGCATTTATAGGCATACATAAAGGGTTATTTACTTTCTCCTTTTAAAAGACCTGAAATGATCTTAGTTTTCACACAAGTGCTCACCCCATGCCGCATGAGTCACAGCAGGACAGCAGATCTTCAGCAGAGATCTCCACAGAGATCTCAGCACTGCTGTGGATACAAATCCTGTCCGATATCGCCTCAACTGCACCGAAGGCCTGTCGGGAATTCAAAAACAGGAAACCTCATGATGTAAAAAGGAAGTGATTTTTGTTTCCCCATAACTCAAACCCTTGAGGCTTTCATGATCTTCTCTTATTTGTATTGTTCAGTGGCCTGTCTTACCCAGCAGGACCCACAGCTTCCCTGGTCTCTGATCTGTTGGATTGTGGGGCATTTGGGCCACTGCTTGCGTGCGTCGAAGCTGTCTGGAAGCCGTATGCCGTCAATATTGTGAAACCTGAACAAGAGAAGAAGTTCACTGAGCACTGCAGGTGATGTAAAACAGATATATTCAATTGGCAGCCTATCGGTTCATTTAAAAACCATATCCATCCCTTTGAACATCTAAAAACAATTATTAAAAAAGAAGTAAAAAATGATTTCTTCCAATTCAAGGACAATACCTTTTTTTTTTTTTTTAACATGACCTCATCTCTGTTCAAGCCCTTGCTATGCCACCACATGGCGTAAATGAGACAGCCCCATTCATTCAAGGATGCTGATTTCGTTACACACAATGGCTGAATTTCGTCACAAGAGTACAATTCCAGACAACCAACGGATTTTCCAAACCGAATAAAATACTTTGTTTGGTGTAAAATACTTGAAAGAAATAATAACCAATCAACTGTGGGCTGCATATCAGAATGGAGATCAGTCCAACAAACCACAGCACTTTATCGGAACACTGAGGGAAGGTTGGGGGAGGAGGGGAAGCGGTGCACTGAGAGCTTTGTTTTGGTTTGGGAGACCTTTAAAATGACTATTAAGAGCAATATAGTGTTTATTAAAACAACCTACTTCTTTTCTGAGATAGAAAAAAGGTGGATAGATAACTCATTACATTCCTAACAGCTCTGATGTCGTTAGAGTTTATGTCCAGCATTACTTTTTTATACCTGGCCATTCTGAAAGTCATTCTCTAGTGCTGCTATAAAATGGAGCTGCTGACTGTCACCTGGTTTGTGCATGTGAGAGACTGCACACACATAACTCCATGCCAAACACTGTTTAAACTTACACCTGTGGCCGCTTGGGTCCATTCAGTATTGTTCCATACAGGCCCTTCACAAAGCTGACATCAGCGTTCTGGAAGTTCAACCCAGCCTGCAGCAAAAAGACGAGTTACTATACACAACAGTCTTTTGGCTTTACCAACAAAATAAACTGAGAACACAGATGATGAGTGAAGATGAGGCTCACAGTCCAGGTGGTGTTGGCCTTGTTGATGTGGTCTACCATCTCTGGGGAGAGCATGGGGTGGTGAGGACGAGCTTGTGTGACAGAGACTGTCACCAGTGCACAGAGGAGGGCCACGGAAAGCATCCTGCACAACAGATGATACCCTGAATTTTTAATCACGTCATCTGCTTTATTATTATCTGTACTCATCACTGTTTTAAGAGACAATGATAAGTTTATTTTTGTCCAGATTTTCTTCAGTTTATTTTCTGTATTCACACTGCTGCACCTTTCAAAGTGTTTCATTTACTTTGCCAGCTGTTCATCTTTGTAATTTACACCCGTCTTCACTATAAATAATGCATGTATGCATAGTTAGTGACCAAATTTATAGCTGTCTGAACCGCATCCACAGACTGAAAAAGTACAACTACAAGATTTGTCAGTCTTAAGTTATGCTTTTATTTTTTGGGCCCTGTAACTTCTGTACACCTCAAGAGACAGCAAACAGCAATGCATCAAATGTTATAGATAACTTATGAACTAAGTTTTTAAGTTATTTATTGCAGATTTAAAAAGACGTCAAAAGACATTTTCCCATGTTGCAAGTGATAACTTGGAAAAAAATAAACCTGATGTTATACTTTAAGTATAAAACGTAAAACAGGCACAACTTTTAATTATGATAGATGAGATTATAAAGACATCAATCATAGATACATTTTGAATTGTATTCTTATGAAGAATCAGCTAAAATAACACCAAGATAAAAAAAAAGATTGAGCTCAATGAATAAAAACAATCACATATATCTTAAGTGGTTTACCTTTGATCTGTGATGCAGCGTGTGTCAGAGAATGTTTCTTCTGGTCAAAATGTTCCTGTCACTGGATACAAACCATCAGGACTCACACTTTTTACTGTCTTTTTTTATAAGTCAGAGAATCACATGTCCATTTATTGGGTTCTTTGTCAGTGCGTATCTCATGTGACTGACAAATCGTCTACCCAAAGGTTGGCAGGTGATCTTTAAAATTCTGACTAGGCAGAGTTAAAGAGTGAGATTTACACATGTACACAGTGTATATGGTCTCAGAATTATAACCAACAAAAAACAAAGCACAGCAGAATATCCTAACCTTGGGCCTGTGCTGTAAAATATGAGAATATAATCTCATTTTAAATCTGTCATCTATCAAATGTAACAGTACACAACAACAATCATCCAGCTACAAACCAAAGCATTTTTTTTTTTTGCACAATCACTCAGACTGTTAAGATTCTTCCACGTCTTTATTTGTTCAAATATGTACAAATCAAAATGTCACATTACATAGCAATGTTTGTATCTCTCCTTTGGTTCTGTACAAGGTTACTCTGTGCTAGCCTTTCTACTCCCCAAAGCTCTTTTAAGGACACTTTAGCTAGCATTTTAAATAAACAGTTTCTTTCAGATATCAAATGTATAAGAAAAGACATTTGTTCTCCCTTGTTCACTTCAAGGATCCATGTGAAAACGACCTCCGAATTGCACATCATTCGTTTTGTCCTATTTCAAAGGTCAAAGTGTAGAAACAGAAAGAACACGGACACCAGTGTTTAAAAGATTTAGCTCTACTGTTAATGTACACTGTCATTGTATGTTTTTTTTTTTTTTTTACATGCAGTGCAGTTACTGTAACGTGCACTGGTGTTGCAGAGTGCTTCTCCTAAAGAAACACAAGTAGTGGAATATGTAATTAGTTTAAGATTTGACACAACATCAACATTAAGCTTTTTGGAAAAACAATTGACCAAAATAATAATACTTGTTCTGCATTTTACAATGTCTGCAGTCAATGTAGAAAATTAAATTTGTAATTCTTTTCATAAAATATTTGAATATTATATATATATATCTCCACTCAATTTATGGGGTCAAACTTTTTTTTAACAAATTGAACAAAATAAAACACAATTTACATTAACCATGAAAACACCCTGAATGTTTCAATGTGCCGTTTTGGTAGTGAACATACCCACCCCACAGTGTTTGTCAGAAAATGTATCCAGATGCAAGATGGACTTCTAGAAACCACTACTACACAACGTAATGAGAGCAGTCTGCTACCAGGACCTCCATAGTCTACCTATGTCCAAGGTCCTCTGATAGTAAAGAAGTGAACAGAGGTGATCCAGTTTCATCCAGTCAGAGAAGAACTGGACCTCCAGAGTGGGCTAAGGGGGGGTGCTTTCTGAGTTTGTGGATTCCAAGGAAAGGTGTAGCAAGGCGGGGGTGTTTACTGTCCCTGCATGTCTCCAGTGCCCTGTGCCTGTGCAGCTGTAGTGCTGAGGTACTGCCAGCTGAGGGCGGCGAGCAGCATAGCAGCAGACAGGTACATGGGCGACAGGTGGTGGGTCCGGGAGGGGAGGCTGGACTGGGAGAGAGCCGACTTCTCTCTGATTAGAGCCAGGATGTGCAGGGTCTTATCCCGTGATGGGTCAGTGAGAGACACCTTCTGTAAAATCTGCAGGGAGGAAGAGCAAAGTTACAGAGTTAGAACTCCTTTAAGGACATTTCTGTTTGTGTACATTCTGGCAAAGTGCTACATTTAATCATTTTAATCATGCTAATTTTGTCCTGTACCTGAGTAGGTAGCTTATTAGATAAGATTCATTCTTTTGCTTTTAAATCTTTAAGTGGACAGACAGGACTCTGAGTAGAGTCAGAAATCGGGGAGAGAGCGAGAGTAAGAAATGAAGTGTAGGTAAATAGGGTGTGCAAACTTCCCACAAGGCCATATGACCATGTAAGTAGCATTTTCTTCACATACAAAAAAAATCTCATCCAGCTACCTTCGTATCTATTAAATAGAATCTCTGCTACGGGAAATGTAAACAAAGGTTGTTCCTGCTGCATGCTGTTCAGCAATTTATGTGACACTTACGTTGTGCAGCACGTTCAGGCATTATTAATAACTATGAAGAAATTACCATTTTTTTCGCTGTGGTCTTTATGCTTTTGTAGGTCATTCAGACGCATCAGTATTAAATTTTAAAAACAGCTAACGTGTTCTCACTGGAGCACCATTACGAGGAAGTCGTAGAACAAATACACAAACACACCTCCTGGCTGTACTGGGCAATGATGCTCTGCACTGCTCTCATGTTGGTGGCTTCCATCATGAGTGTGACGGCCTGTCCCTTTCTGATCTTCACCACTCCCTGGAAAACCATGGGGTTGTTGTAGCATGTTGATAGTGTCGCTATCGCCATCACCTGGTCGAGAGAGAAGAACAACATGGAGTCAAGTGGGAGAAATGAAAGAAATTAGATGACCTGAGACATATTGATGAAAAATCTCTTGCATCGTTAACAATATAAAATAAAAAAAAACATGTCATTATGTAATTAAATTAAATTCAGTCTCTTCATTTTTGGAGTGCATTAAAAAAAAAATACAGCCAGACGGATCACTGTATCAGTTGTCCAAATTATCGGGCTGACATTTGCCTTTCAAAGAATAATCAACATTTGGCTGAACATATAATTCACATCACAAGGCATGGGGTTATTTAAGAACTGTTTCATCATATAGTTGTTCCAACAGAGTGCCATGACTATGTAGTTTACAAAACTCTCAGTGCAGTCTGCAGAACATAAAACAAAGTCTTAAGAGCTCTGCTGAGTCGGTGGACAACTTGCTAAATATTTTACAGTGGGTGTATCTGCCTTAGAAAGCTGTTGTTTGAGTACCTGTGCACACTCCTGTCAGAGCAACATTTGGGCACATTATGCAGAAAATGTCTTATTTCTCTGTAGCTATTGAATTCCCTTTATGGCCTACTGCATTTGGTTATGAAATAACTTTTTTACACTGACATCAGTCTCAGTCTTAGAAATCCCATATTGGTGAGGGTCTAGTTAAAAACAATCGTCTACCTGTGGAATGGCACAGAAATTGAAGACGCTCTGGTTTCGCAGGCGGGACAGGTACGCGATGACATCCGGGACGTGTCTCAGAGCGTCAGTGACCAGCAGGTTGAGGCAGGAGAGAGCCGAGTCCAGCTTCTCTGGCTGGGCCAAGTCCTCGAGATGACCTGCAAACTGACTCCAGGCCTGCACAGGAACACAGAGACACGAGGCAACAATACATCACAACAAGTTACGATCTCAAAGGAGTCCGCTTTTTTCTTTCCATTAACAGTCACAGAATTGTGATCCTAAAAGACACATAAAATGCTAAAAAAAACATCTTTTAGAAACTTTATTTTTCATGACTACTTTCCCTGCTGGATAAAACTTGTATGTAAAATCTCTGCTGGTGATTAAATGTGAGTCAATATTGAAGTTTGTATGGATTCACTATCAATGCACAAACTAATAAAAAGGAGCTCATGAGGTTATATAAACACTCTTTGTATAAACTCAACATTTTTACAACACTCACTGCTAATGAAAATGTGTTCAGGCGTATTGTCGTTAACTGATTTGGTCATACAGACTGTTGAAACGAAACATTCTCATATCCCGATCTCACCTCTTGTGGCCAGAAGGCACGTCCCTGTTGCGTGTCCTCTAGGTAGTCTCTGATGATGTTTGTCTTCTGGAGGAACAGGCCCATGGAGTTTGCCAAGTCTGTGTCCCGGCCCACCTCGGGGTCCTCCAGCTGGGACGCAGAGAACAGCTGAGACAGACCGATGCCGACCAGACCAGCGACGTAGTGGCAATACTGCACAAAAGAACCAAACAAGACAACATTGTGTTAGCTTTTTATAGTGGAAGCAAAGAGCAGGCTTAACATTGATCCAACAGTTTAAAGTTATAGCAAAATGTGCAGTCATTGAGGACTCATGGATCAAAAATGTTGTTTTTTCAAGGCAGAAGTTATTATCTTCTAGGGCTTTAAGGAATAAAGGTAACAGTTGTGATGCAAAAACAGGCATTTTCATTCCAGCTCACTTAATCATTTTACCTCTAAACATAGTATTGATATCAGTCTTAAAAATGTCAAATTGGTCTTTATCCAACATTAAGATTTTTTTTATGTTATAGCTCACGTTCAGTACCATAAATGGAGCTCCTCTGATGTTCTAACATATTTCTAAAACAAGAAACTCCTTTACCAGGTCCCACTCCTTCATGGATCCCACTTTCTTCTCCAGGAAGTCAGCCATTCCCATTCCCATGCGGTTGCAGATATCCGAGATGACGTCTCTGTACTCCTGGGCAAGGTTTCTAAATTCCAGTGATATCTGGATAACAAGTTCACATGCAAATTATAGATGGATTTTTACAACCTTTTCTTTCACACAGAACTCAGACAACAAATTAAAAACCAAACTCTGTCGTAATGACATTTTTTGACGTGTATATTTTTGTCTGTCATTTACTTCCACTATAAAATAAGATACTTATGGTTCTGACTAATGTGCCTCTGTGAACCAGCAGGAAGTGCGACTGACCGTGGGGAAATCCTCCAGAACCTGTCGGTCTTTCTCCTGGCTCTCTGTGAAGCACCACTCATCCTGGTACAGGTAGGTGTGGAAATCGTTCAGCATGGGAACCTTCTTGTCCAGAGGGATACTCATGTCATCCTCCACTGTGTCCAGCGCTCGCAGCACCAGGTAGAAGATACAAACTGCGTGTCTAGAAAGAAGAAGACGGGGAGGAAGGGATGAAATAAGATGGCTTAAAGGCAACTGGAAAATGGGTCATTCATTCACGACTGAAAATCTGCCTCGTCACTCGACAAAAATAGCAAGCAGAGTTGTAGAGTTCAGCTTGGTCTGTAGGAAAAGGTTTTCCCTTTGACAGGGGGTATGTGTATTTAAAAACACACTCGTCTCTTTCCTGACAGTTGTGACTGAAAAGTGATCTTAAATTAGACATCGAGCAGCAGCAGACTTCACTGTCTGTAACATTAACAGTTTAGGATTCCTGCTTCAGTTCATCACAGGTCACCAGAAGAATCCGACCACATTACATCCCTTGTCCCTGTTGGTTTACCGACTGTTACTGTAACTTACAGAAACATCTTATTGTGCAGGGCAGCAGCATCAAAGCCAGTTGTTTGTGTCCAAAAATGATCATGGTGATAATTATGATTATTACCAATATTATTTATTTTATCTACGGGTGGCATTGAATTGGCCGACCTATGCTGATTCATCAAAAATGTATTCAGCTACAATTTTGAGGAATGATTGATCATTTAAGTACCTAATCAAGAAAAAAACATTTTGATGGTTGCAGGTTCTAAGATGGAAGAATGTTCTGGTTAAATACGACTGCTTATTCCACTTTCTGTGCCCCTTAACTGTTGCACAGACAAAATAAACTATTTAAAAATATCAACATGGCCACTTTGCAACATGTCCAGAAACACGACAAACTACATCATTGATCAAAAGACGGCACGCCTTAACAGATTGAGTGTTACTTGAATGAGAAATGTTTAATCATGTTATCTCCTTACTCTTACTTTCTCTAAACTAAAGCATAAAATGTCTTTAATGTGCAGAGCAATTGTCAGAATTACTCAAGACACACAAAAACTTCAGTCTGCGGTCCACTTCATTGCATTTTTTTTTTTGTTTGTTTTTTTAGGCTCAACTTGTGTTTGTATTGATAAGCTAATGATAAGAACTCTTTGTGCCACATGTTTGGGATAAAACACACTGGTGCCTTGCACAAACACCTGGCACTACATGTGTCTGCATTTTCTGTGAAAAGATTTTGGTTTTAAGAGGAAAAAACCCAAAAGATGTTGGATGTCAATGCTGCTTCAGGCTTCAACTTTATATATGTTTGAATAAATCTGATTAGTTCTTATTTCTTTGTTTTACTAAAAACTGTGGAAAAAAAGGGAAGTAGGCTACCCCAAGTCAACGCCCCTGGTTCTGCCCTTAAGGAAAGAAAACATGACTACAGAGTCACACACACACACACACACCCCTTCACCTGCATCCCACACGGCTCAGTCCAGCTGTTACTCACCTTAACTCTCCGTCCAGAGCCTGAATCACAGCTGCGAAACTCCGGCTGGTCTGGTTCAGATACAGGTAACAGGTCCGCAGACTCTCGCTCATGGACTCCTGGCAGGAGACACAGAGAAGGGCCGTGTGTCGGTAAACTCCCGCAGGTCTAAACGCACTGGAGGGTCTGGCGGCCTCCTGCAGGCCCCGCTCCCCCAGCCTCCAGCCCAGAAGGTGGGACCGAGGAGGAGCGGACCCGCAGCCCCGTGGAGCCACCGAGAGAGAACGCCTGAGCACGGAGAGAGAGACCGGACACTTGCAGCATGCTCCGGCCATACGAATAACCTGACAGCACGACCGAGAGCTGCAACTATGAAACGAGACGGTCCATGTTGACGCCACGGTTTGTGGAGAGTTTTGAAAGACGCAGGCCATGCAGAGGACAAGCGAGCTAGTAGGTCGAGCGAGGTGAAAACATTTTTGGGTAGGACGTCAGGAGAGCTAAATCAAGCGCACCAAGCGATCTAAAAACAGTCTGCCATCCCCGCGCGCACGAACAGGGTCCATCCACAGCGTTTGTAGATCTGCGGTGATGGTTACGCTACGACACGCCTCCCCCTGCACCTCCCACATCGACCCAAAACAACACGAGCTGCGTGTTTCCTAACACGACTGTAGGAGCCTAAATGTGGCTGTGCTAATAAACAGAACCTCACAAGATACAATGGAGAAGATACGAAACAGTCATATTACAACAGACAAATGGTGATATGAATGAAAAAGCATATGGGTCTCAATATCTGCGTAGCAAATCATCCAAATGGTGGTCTAAATCTTTGTAAATATATCCAAGTTGGTTCGGGGATCTTAATATGATATTATAAAATATTTTAAAGCTGCTCGAAGCCAAATATGTACTGTTCTCATAGCAACAGATCCTTTTAACAGCAGAGCATGACCAAGGACTATGAAGTAAATAAAGTTATTCTTCCAATTGATATTTTTATTTTGTTAAAAAAAAAAATGTAACACACTCTTGAGGACTTAAAGCATGAGTGTGTAGATTAGTGCCATCTAGTGGCGAGGCTGCAGATTACACGAAACGGACAACTATTCCAACTCCTGAACTTTTTAGGAGGTTTAGGAAAACATACATTGCCAAATAAAACAAAAGGGGAGGGGGGGGCATAATCCCATTTTAGGCAGCAAAGGGTTTGTTCAGTCGTTATTTGACAACAGCTCCCCTTGATTCTTACGTGGGCCCTGTGGCTGAATTCCACCAAACCTTTACAAAAAATATTTCACAGGAACACATATAATATGAGCTGTACCTCCATGAATCCATATTGTCTTACTGCACGCTATGAGCATGCAGACTGAATCCAAATACCAAACCTCTGGACTTGCAGACTGAATACTCTGCAGGAGGTACAGAGCGTCCAAGGCGGTGTGAATGTGAGGAACATGATGTCCATTGTCGTGTTTGTGTAGGTCATTCCAGATGTGTTTGTTCACCACCTTATTTGCCTCTATGAAGGTTTATTCTCTGGTGGGCCCACTGCCCAACAGACCTGTAGTATTGCTTAATATGTAAATTATGTAACCTGAAACTTAAACTTAAACCAATATTTTTAAAAAGCAGTTTGATCATCCTTGTAGCCTCTATATTTATATATGGGGGGTTCAATATATATCTGACTGACATCACTTGCTTTTTAAAAGTGATAATTTAGCATGTTCATGATATGTTCTTATTGTTCTTTAGGTTGAAATTAGAACAACGATATTGTGTGTGTTATAATCAGTTAAGCTATCCATTTTAATTCAGCGTGAATGAGAAATGCTTCGACTTTCTTGCAGACTGTTGAACCTGGCAGGCACAATCTCCAAAATAGGGATTGTCTGAAGGTAGACTTTTGAAAAAAAAAAAAGTACCCTGAAACAATAACAATCCATCTGAATAAACTAAACAAGTCGGATGAGAATTTAACTAGGAAAATTATAAAACATTGAGGAATAAAAGCAATCAAGGTACACGTCTAACAATAGCAACATTCTGCAGAGCCTGCTAGATAAACTTATTATCATTCCACTACTATTTAAATGTGTTTAATACACTGGGGGACACATGTTAGAGGTCACAGGTCAGGAGCCAGGCTACATGTGCGTAAAAGATTTAGCCTTTACTACACAACCAATCCATGGTTCACTCACCTCTTTAAAACCACCTGGTTTGGCACTTTTGTAGCTCATAGTGTGGCTAAAGTCATATTTTTTAAGTGGCCTATGGTTAAGAGGTTTTGGAGGGATGTCATTCTAACTTTTTTACTGGAAAAAAAAGACTTTGTTGTTATGCAATGTATGGGCAAGATTCAGATACACGTTTGGTTATAGGCCAATTTATAAGGCACAATAAAGACAAACTATGCTTTTCCCCCTCTCCTTATTCTTCACTTTTCTGTCTCCCAGGGTCACATTGGAGAGGGATTAGCTTTTAAAACATGCGCACAGCATCTCTGCCCACTGATGAACCCTCCAAGCTCATTATGTAACCTAAATCCCGAGTCAATGGTCATATCTTCCTGTGTATATCTGAGCCAATCGCAGGCGTGCAGGCACAGATCGAATTAGTCCTGCTAGGTAACTCTTTTTTCCACCAGCTCATGAAGGATCAACAAGAGAGCAGCATTGACCCTGTGAGTGCAGGTTACACACTAAACATGTGCAGCGTTGCTACAGGAAGCTAGCCTGAAGCCTACTGATGAGATAAAAAAAAGAGGACATTGTGTGCTTTAAAGAACAGTCCTGAACGACCCTTAGGTGTTTCTTCCTCATATGACAAGTTATGTTTCATAAAATACGCTTTACTCACATAATCCAACTTCGGCATGACGGTGCTGCAGCCCCCCATCTTAAACTTAAACAGGTTGAAAACCTCTTCCGGGTGGCCAAGAGACTTCAGGATGTCCATGTTTCTTCAGGTGTGTTCTGGTGCTTCTTTCACAGACTGATGTATAAACCCCGATGTGTACTTCCCATTAAAAGTGATGTATCGCTGAGTTGCCACAGCAGCACCACCAACCATGGAGAGAGCACGGCTTTCAGTCTCATCCAGTCGTCAGATCGACAGACTCCTCTGATTGGCTGGTAAGCCATGGGCTTAGAGCGCTGCGTCCAATGAGTGCGCAGAGCGTCTGGTGTGATGCCCCGCCTCAGAGGACTGTGTGTGGAGTGCGGCTTCTGATTGGTCTGTTCTTTGCCCGAGAGGGAAACCCATACCTGCTCAATGAAATTATATAATCCAGGGTGTGATACCTGATGGCTTTAAGCGCCACACAGTCTTCTTTAAGTAACTAATGTCTGTCTACCGCAGTGATTTGTTAAATATTACATCTTAAATGATGCAGAAATAAAGTTATCTATCCAAGATTCATCTATTCTTAGCTGGAGTTAGTCCTATAGTCTCCTGAAAATCAGTTTTTTTTCACCGTCCAGTCTTATTGTCCCTTGTGTTTCCCCCTAAATATCTGATGGGTTACTGTGAAGCATGTCGTTTTTTAACAGACTATGATTATAGATAAAGATTTTGAGTATTTTTTATATATTTATTACTACTTCTGCAGCATTTTTGTTTTCATTGTTTTAGGAAAGATGATATGGAAGCGTATTTTATTCATGTGGGGAATTTTTTTTTTTGCCTGGTTTCTTCTTATAACGAGATCTTTATCTCGTAATAAAAAGAAACCAGGCAAAAAAAAAATTCCCCACGTGAATGCAATAGCTTCCATAAGATGCAACTTTTAAGAACTCGTTGGGATTTTGTCAGCAGAACATAATAAATAATAGCAAATATAATATCATAGTATTAGTAACTTAAATATTAACTGTGTATTCTAGAGGCAAGCAGACTAGCCAGGGTTTGTAAAAAAAATGTAATTGATTGATGATTGATTGATTGTAATTGATGTTGTACATTGCATTTTGGGGCAAAAACTGTTGGTGAGTTAAAATAAGTCTGCCTTGTGAACAGCTCTGAGTGGAGTAAAGTCTGCTGAGTCCTATAAGCGGCGTCGCATCATTGCCAAGAATCCCATAAGCAAGTCAGCAGAGGTCATCCAAGAACCAGTCTCTTTTCTTAGCATGAAGTTGATGTGTTCTCCTTCATTCAGTTTTACACACATAATACACAAACATATTCATGTGGATGTTTCAAAAAATTCGCTGTAAAACAGCTTCTAAGAAATGTTATTGTATAATAAACAGCTTATAATGGGTATGCCACCAAAGACTTATTGAACTATTGATCTTTTATTTAAGTGAGTTTGGATGCACAAACAAGGGCTGACTCATTGATTCATTTCCTGATGTGCTTTCCTATTTGTCACATGTTACATAACATGTGTCATGTTGTATGAAGATTAACTCTAAGTATTTATGCCTGATAATGAACAGGTGCTTTGTTCATAAGAGATTCCTGGGATAAAATTGTTTTGTGATCAGACGGACAGATATCCTTTGTCTCAAAGTTGTCAGGGCCGAGACCTCTGTGCAAAACTTAATCACGAGTGTGAAAGTTCCTATATTACCTGAATGACGTTAATAGATTCCAGCGTTTCAATAAAATCTAAATCAAAAGTGTGAAAAGGGCAACAAACATAACTGCAGGATGAAATCACTGTTGGGTCATAGTGGTCTGTAGATGATTCAAATCAAAACATGACATGAACCTTAAAACCACTATTACATTATTTTAACTTTTAGTGCAATAAAAAAAATATTTGAATGCCTTATCTTGCTATTAGTCGATAGAGCTATCCACAATTATCGGCTGTGGCTCAGTGGTAGAATCTGTCTTCCCTAAACTGGAAGGTTGGGGGTTCGATCCCTATAGCTCCTGTAGTAACAAGTCGAAGTCTCCTCAGGCAATATATTGAACCCCAGATAGCTCCTCGGCTTTGTGTATGAATGGGATCTGAAGAATGAGACGAGTTACTTCTGATGGACGCTTTACGAAGCAGCCTCTACAGTGTGTTAAGCACTTTGAGAAGACACAAAAAACACTATACAAGCAACAACATGCTACCTAGAGAGGCATGCTTGTTAGGGTTTATCCACTTTCCAAGACATTGTCTATTAAAAGCATTCCCCACACCCCAGTGAGAGGAGGACTTAGCTTGCCAACATGCTCACAGTGAGAATGTTGACATGCTAATGTTTGGCTCCTCTTTTTTATCATGTTCCCTCTAATATTTAGCATTATAGCACGGAAACATATGCTAATTAACACATAACCCATTCTGCAGCTAAGGCGTATGACATAACTTGATATGAAAATTATATTTTGTCATAATAGAAAATCCAAAAACAACATGCACATCCCTTGAGTGCTGGATCCAAAAAAACAGGCATAAAGAAGAAAGAAGATCCTCACACCAAGGAGCTCCCGTTTAAAGGATTTATTTTGCAAATAGTGACGTTTCCAGCTATCATGCGCTTCCTCAGACTTACTTGATATTTTGTCATAATGTCATGTTGTTATTGTTGTTGTTTATAAAGGTTATTCTTCCTTAGGGGGGTATGATTGTCTGTTATAAGTTTTGGGGCAATCCGTTCAATAATTATTCAGAAATTTCAATCAAAACCACAAATGTGAACCTACTGTACATTTTGGCTCACGGCAGAAAAGTCTGGGGATCACCAAAGTTAACAGGTCGCATCTTGTAGGGATTATGCATGCTGCAGCTGCAATACAAATTCCATTATGATCAAGGCAAAAGTTATCCAGACATTTTAGCCATGAAGACAGAGTTGGTGTGCAGACAGCTTGGCGACTATAATAGTTATGAAACCAAAGTTTAATACCTTTTAATAAAATGTTAAATATTGTATTGAAAAACACATAACAACATGTATTAAAGTAGTAATTTTGTATAAGGTCATGACCTAAACATAAAAATGAGCTCCTCTGTCAGGAACGAGTCTAACGTGTTACTCTGCATGGCTGTGTTTGTAGCAACAGTCTCCTGTGTTCACTGTTGTTTTAATGCAACACTGTCTGTACATGCAATGCGTCCTTCTTCCAAACCACAAGAAAAGGAATGAGGAAATATTTGTTTTTACAATATGATGTGATTTTTATTAAACTGTACAGACGTGCATATTAAGATGATCCAGTAATCATAATTATGTTAATGAAAAGCTAAACATGCTCAAAGGTTCCCAATGAATTAAGTTCAAAATGGTTCAAACACATCACCGTAACAGTTGCTCCATTAGTCTCTGATATGATTCATAAACTTTTGTTTTAAGTGTATTTATCCCTCTCATGCATCCCTAACCAGATAGTAGAGGCTGGTTTTTGAAAAAAAGGAAAAACAAAAGTGAACACAAAGGTTGATGTATGTTTACAAAAATAGGATCCCACTCATTCTAAGTCATATAGATTTATAAGGTATAGGGTGATATTTAAACTTTCCTTCAGGGTGCTGGTTTGGCTCAGCGGCCTGATGATGCATTCTGTGTGCAGAGATACAGTCCTTGCAGCAGTCTGATGTTCGGGCCCTATCCTTAACTTAGCTGCATCCATCTCTCTCCTTCTAATATTTCCTATCTCTCTACTGTCCTGTCAATAAAGGCATGACATCACCCAAAAAGTCATCTTTTCCATTATATGCACATAGAAACTTGTTATTTTGGATCAAGGGATGTTTTCCAGGAATAAAAGAACTAATTGTATCATTTGTGTCTTTTGAAAGATTTTGCTCCGGGGCACACAGCTGTAAGCTGAAACCAACACCCTGGTGTGTGTCACATTGAGGTTACTGTGAATCACTAAGCCCATAAAATGAACCAGAAGCATCACATATATTTAATTTGAATTCACCATTTTCTTTATGAGGCAAAACTGACACATTCTGCACAGCTTCAGGTTGTAGATGCTTTGACTAATGACTTTCTGCTCTGTGACTCAGGACATGTTACGCTGTGTTTTATGTTTGTAACTTTTTGTTGTGCTGCTGCAAATTGTAAATGAGGTTCTTAATCTCAATGAGGGTCTCCTGGTTAAGTAAATTTAAGATAAAAAACAAATAAAAAACATAAAGACAAAGGAAGACTCTTTAATATATTTCCTGTGAACTTACCAAACTGGATTTTTGAAAAAAGGAAAAGGGGTGGGGGCTATACAGCTGATGACACACACACAGCTTGGTGCTGACAGTCACACATGTTGCAGTTGTCTGAGTAAACATCATCAGAGAGAAACAGAACTGTCTCCAGCTGTTAAACCAGGACATACCAAACCACCTTAAAGCCTACTGCAAGAGCCATTGTTCCTGAGCCAACAGTGGTAAAGAATCTGGATGACACTTCCAATGTGAGTAGATAAACTTGACTTCCACTTTGATTAAAAAGACCCTAAAAAATGGGCCAAGAAATTTTTCTTTGGGGCCTTATGTGTTTCAAACTATGCTAAAATAGCTAAAAATTACCCTTCTCTTTTTTTGGTCATAAGTTTGTTTACACTGCTCTTTGATATTTCATGTTATTGTTCAGGTTGAGCCGTAAGCGGCCTCTGTGTAATGGATACGATAAGGAGCCTCCACTGTACACAAAGAAATGTTTGGCCAGTCTCAAAACTCTCCGGGAGAAATATCAAAGAGACAGAGACACAGAACATTTCAGACTGAAGTAAGTACAGTCCTAAGAATTACAGAATATGTCAGTGAAGTGTGTGAAACTTGTTTGAATAGTGTTGCAACAGGAGAGTTGTCCGGTTGTTTAAGCTCTCGGGTTGTTTAAGGTAATTGGGTATTTCAGGTGTCACTCTCACTGTCTCTTATTTATCCTGCT